TTTAAAATTATAATACAATGGCATAATTTCAATACTTCCTTCGAAACTCAGATTTTCTCATCATGAAACTTTATAATCTACATGTATGATATGGTGGTGTATAAAATCAGTTTGGGATAATTCATAAACAATGTAATATTTACATATATCCAGCTTTCAAGATAGATTGTAAATGGAATGTAAATATATATTTGTATATTTATTTTTGAAACTTTATGAAAAGAGTACTTTGATATTTTTGTTTGGTCATAAGTATTATCAAGCCATACATTCATCTGCATGAACTTCATTATTAAGACCTGCCACACTTACTGGTAGATTTGAAAACCTGTTTCACTAATTCTTATCCTGGAGGTTGCCAAATTTAATTTTTATATTCCACAATACTTGTGTAATTTTGTTTAGTAGATTTAGTGTATGAATAGTTTGGTAGCCAGTAGTTTCATGGTCAGTGTCAAAGAAAGAATACACAAAAGTTTGAAAGAAGACAAGTTAATTTATTCTTGTCACTCTGCACTGAAGTGCAACAAAATCTATCTACAGATCCAGATCACAACCTTAATTCTTTTATCAATCTACTGACATGGTTTCTATTGTCATTCTGAAATCAAACAAACAATGAATTTTTGTCCTGCTATGACTAAAAAAGGAACAGCAAACTTATATTTGGCTTTCAATTTGATGTCATAAATGACACATCACATATTTTAACCTCTTTACAGTGATTGATAAATGCTGATTAGCTTATGTTCAATTTTGTCTCATTCCATCAACATAATTTGTACAGGTACATTTATTTTATCTTGGCTTGATTACCAATTGAAGTTGATTCCTTTTCATCTCTTGTTTTTTTTATCTTTACTCATATCTGAGTATACCTTTTGGTATACAATTACCTATCATCATATAGGATTAGGTCAGGGGGTTCAAGAAGTTGGTGTTTGTATCAATTCTTCTATTTCATGCATTATAAGTTTCATTTTAACTTATTTTAAACATTTCACACAAAATTACTTTTGTCGGCACAGTGCAATCTTAATTGCCAATAATCAGTTAAATAAGTGATGTTTGAAGGAAAAGCAACGTTTCATCTGTCATTGTACACGCTGTATATCGCTGAGTTAACGCCCCTTCTGAATATTTGTTTTGATACACAAGTCATTTTGTGAACTAATTTCATTTACATCGTAATATGTTTGGATGAAAATCATAGCAGAAAATGTGTCTTATGTCAACTGGACTCATGGCAAAACGATAGTGAGTGGTGCAGCAAACGCCACTATGAAACGTGAAATAAACATGATCGATGATCTCGATTTCGCCAAGCCAAACGTTAACTGAGCAAATTAGCGAATGCTATGCAGTTCATTTACGATACAAACTTCTGTCATTGAATATACTATCACGTTGTACCTATATGCCGACAAAGTTATGTTAAAACATATATTGAAAACATTCTAAAACAACACTAAAGTGTGTAGTTTATGGTTAAATAATTCAATTTTTATTATCTGTCCTGTGTGTGATCCACAAGTAGGATTTAAAGTTTTTCAAGTTTTTTTTATTTTTATGTGCTTCAGTATGGTTACATAACACAGAATATTCCACATTTGCATTGTAGGGTCATGTCATCTCAAGTAAACATAGCCTAAGTTTGGTTTAGCTGGTTATCACAAGATAACTTTGATCCAGAGGATCAACATGGCACAAAGAAATGGCACAAAGAAATCGACCTATTGATGCATGTACTTATACTGTCATAAAGCACACATGTGTAACCCAGAAGATAAAACATACTGAAATTTGCATGTGGTACCTTCAGAATCAGAAATTTGAATATTGCACATTTCAGTTCAGATATTTATGTAAATTAAAAGTAGAAAACAAACATATTATCTATACAAGATAAAATGCTTTCACAACAATGACTTCCTGAAACATTTGTTAGTGTTTTCAAGGTACAAGGGGTATTGTTGTTGTAATCATAGTGGTTTACATGACACTGTTGACATTTTATAATTAACCTTTCAAAGTAATAGCTACATTATTGTAATATTATTTAATAACGAAGTAGATCAGTGGACTGGAGACATCGTTGTGAGTGGTTTTTTTATTTAACCATGAACCACACTTTTCTATGAGCGTTATCTTCCTAAGGCTAATATTCTTAGTCCTGTAGCCTGACATGCCTGTTATTCGCACTGTCCAAAAGTGCGTTCCCGCATGGCGATATACTGTAGGCCTGTCCCCGACCCTCTCAACAGACAGACCCGCTACACGAAATGGGCCAATGTTTCATCACTGAGAAATGCTGTATGGGGAAATAGGTCAGATAGAGCTAGACTCCAGGTACCCTGACCTTTGCCTTCTGGTGGCTGGTGGTGAGGAGTGCAAGCGCTCTAGGGCAGGGAAACCAGTCTAGGACAGGACGTGGCTCCCAGTTATGATTATGCCAAATAACATAAATATGTTTAGTGTAATTAGATTTACACATAGGAATGTCTTAAAAAGAATTTCCATAATTATTTATGCATTTTGTATGTATCATTATAGATATGTGTGACAAAGATAAAGTTTCTTTAAAAGTTTCTTTAGATCTTTCCAACTATTACTCATCTCCATGTAACTTTCTCAAACCAAAAACAAACAAGAGTTTGCCACTAACGTGTCTACATCCCCCGCCCCTGTTGCAGAATTTATGACATAATTAAATCTAAACAAACCCTAACCTTTTTTAACCGAGGTAGAACTTGTCATGGAAATTGTAAAAAAAGAAAAGTTTGGAACCTAAGTCCATCTTGTTGCCATGTACCTGACAAACCTGCAAAGTTTCATGAAAAAATATTGAACGGTTTATGAGTTATGCTCCGGAAATGAACCTTACCCTCACAGAACCTAAGTCCATCTTGCTGCCATGGAAACGTACAAAATAAAAATTTCTAAAATGTCTAAATAGCAAAAGGCACCAGTTCAGCATGTACCTGACAGACCTGCAAAGTTTGATGAAAAATATATTAAACGGTTTATGATTTATGCTCCAGAAACGAACCCTACCCTCATAGAACCTTAGTCCATCTTGTTGCCATGGAAACATAAAAAATAAAAATTTCTAAAATGTCTAAATAGCAAAAGGCACCAGTTCAGCATGTACTTGACAGTCCTGCAAAGTTTCATGTGAAAATATTGAACGGTTGCTGAGTTATGCTCCGGAAACGAAACGTGATGGACGGACGGAGCCCGTTTTTAAATCCCCCACCAACTTTGTTTGGCGGGGGATAATAAAGCACAGCGCCTGTCACAGTGCAATGAAATAGAGTGCTTACTGAGTTGGTTGCACTAAATGATACTGTAACCGGCATCAATCAACGACTTGAGGCGTGAAATGGTGTCACGTTAGGAGTAACATGAAGGAGGAAGAGCAACAGTGGTCGTTTTGTTTGACTGCAGCATGTTGCTAAATGCCTTATGCTGAGCAACTGGTGTGCATATGATTATGAAATGTTTCAAGGACGGCTCAGTCCTGTGTCCAAAGACATAATATTTACAGGGCACCAACACCTGCCTGAGACAACTTTGTGGCTGCTGTGGAATGGACACAGTGATTTCAATTTGCTTGGGATTTGCATGAGAAATGGTTGACACTGTCTTGCCATATTTCTTCCCAGAGGATAAAAAGTCACCAAGTTTTAAGAATTTATTTCATCAATTGATAACTATTGTGGATGTGCCACCTTGATTGACAGTAATGATCGAACAATGTTAACAAGGATATGTTTCATCACAGGGGAGGTATTTTGAACAGCATCATGACGTCAGCCAATAATTATGTAACTCAAAAGTGTACTCTATCGTAGGATAAAGTACAGTCGATGCCTTTGATCTTTTAGAGAAACATCTCTGAATAAAACTTTGAAAAGAACTGATAAATAATGTATAACATTGTACATACAGGCAACTAACTAAAAATATACAGTGTCAGATTTCTATCCTTACTGTAGATCTCACAGTTTAGCAGATATGTGAGTAAGAATTGTGAAAGGATAATCCTGGATTAGAGAGTGTAAATTACACGACATTAGAAGGAGTTACACAGACTTTACTTGATGTTGATTTTACTTGACCACATTGTTGGGCTGGGGTGGGTAACTCAGGTACTCGGGTACTGAGTAGGCCAGGGCTACTGTCAAACTATTCCCAATCGGACATTTTGTACTTATCTCATGAGACCAACAGTAGGTACCCGGGTAGGGTCGGGTAATAGGGGTGTGGGTACCCAGGTAAAGTTAGCTTTGCCAAGTTTCGATCAAATACACTGAATGGTTTTCCAATTCTGCCCTGGAAACGAACCCCATCCCCAATTGAGTCTATGTCCAACTTCATTCCATAAAAATTTAAAAAAAAAAAAATTAGAAAAATCCCAAAATATCAAAAGGCACCCCTTCAGTATGTGCCTGATAGATTTGCCAAGTTTCGATCAAATACACTGAATGGTTTTGGAATTCTGCCCCGGAAAAGGAAATGATTACGGACGGACAGACGGGCAGACGGACAGACGGACGGACAGACAGACTGGCTGATCGCTATATCCCCCCGCATTATATGCCGGGGGAATAAAAATGGGTTTTCAAATCTACTGAACATGGGATCTGGATTCTGTGACCAGTTCATATGGAACACAGAATCAGAGATTCTCACGAAGAAATGTACAAGTCATCAATCTTCATCATGAACCAGTTTCAATGGCACAATAATTTCAAAGGAACAAATGTTTAAAGATGACAGCACATAATCAGGCCACAACATAGGCTCACTTGGATTTATTTTGTAGTCCATGTTATTCAGAACTTGGAAATTTCAAATCACATCTGAAACCAATCTCAGTGACAATTACTACCATTCATGAGAAGGGGGGTTAACCTAATACATGGAAACATGTACTCTTTCACAGATGATTATCTTCCTTTATATTCATTCAATCATATTCAGTAACAGTAAAGTACCTTGCTCCCACTCTCCTTGCAGCTTTGCTGGAACTGGTGGGAGAGGGCGCCGACTGGATCCAGATGGCCGACGGTGCATGTAGGGGGGACTAGGTGCTGGCACATCAGGAGGGTCATCCAACTCACTCTGTCAGACACAAGACAATATATATGCCAAATTACATTCAATTTAATGTTGTTTTCACTATTTGCTTCTACTTTTTAGCAACAATTTAACATGGTGCTGCTGTGTTAGTATTTGATGTTATTTATATTTTCCATAACAGGCTTATTCTAAACACTAAAGGGGTTAAAATGGAACTGCTCGATTGTTCTAAAATAACTACATAGAGGTGTCAAATATTTCTAAAAATATATCATCAAACACATAATCTCAGAGCCAAACTTAGCTAAAACCACCTCACATACCAATGGAACAGATATTTAAACATGCATCGACCTCCAAATCCATATGTTGACATTCACTACACACAGTTTTACAATATGCATCGACCTCTAAATCCATGTTGACATTCACGACACAGTTTTACAATATGCATCAACCTCTAAATCCATGTTGACATTCACTACACACAGTTTTACAATATGCATCAACCTCTAAATCCATATGTTTACATTCACTACAGTTTTACACTATGCATTGACCCCTAAATCCATGTTCACATTCACTTCACACAGTTTTACAATATGCAAACCTCCAAATCCATATGTTGACATTCACTACACAAAGTTTTACAATATGCATCGACCTCCCAATCCATATGTTGCCATTCACTACACACAGTTTTACAATATGCATCAACCCCTAAATCCATGTTCACATTCACTACACACAGTTTTACAATATGCAAACCTCCAAATCCATATGTTGACATTCACTACACACAGTTTTACAATATGCATCGACCTCCCAATCCATATGTTGCCAATCACTACACACAGTTTTACAATATGCATCAACCTCTAAATCCACCTATTCACATTCACTACACAGTTTTACAATATGTATCGACCTCCAAATCCATATGTTGACATTCACTACACACAGTTTTACAATATGCATCGACCTCCCAATCCATATGTTGCCATTCACTACACACAGTTTTACAATACCGTATATCGCTGTGTATAAGGCGACCCCACGTATAAGACGCCCCCCCTGTACACGCCTTAAAAATCAACCCAAAATCCTATACTCCGTGTATAAGGCGACCTGGAATGAAACACATCACAAGTCTGACTGATATACCGGTAGAAGATTTAACGTGCTCTTGCCGACTGTAGCGTATTTCGCACACGGACATCACAAATTAGTTAGTTAGTTACTTTGGAGATTTAATGTGCGCTTTCCGACTGATGCGTATTTCGCACACATCACAAGTGCACACACAAACCTTATATATGCAATAAAAATATGTTTATCTTGCGTTGTTTTTTTTCTACAATGATAGGTCGCGTGTGTAACTCCGTCACACGTCGCCATTTTGTGTTTACACGGTACGACACCAAATTGGTGCCCGTAAAATAAAATTCATTTATGAAGTAATAACATATAAGAGACAATGTTGAGTAATTTAATCGCCAATTAACTATTAACTAACTATTCTTATGTTTGCTTCACATTCAGCGTGTTTATTCCACAATCACTTGTACACACCGTCTCCAACACTTGTTAATACAACTGTAAAAACAGCGGGAATTGATTTCAGCTTCACCGGTTATCACATGTTAGGTCACATGTGCAATATGCAAATGATTACCAGTACTTCCGGCTCTCTACTCACGGATGTTGATTGTTTTACCGTGTCAGCTGGTTTGACAATCTGCATCGAGGAGAGGGTCATTTCAACTTTATTTGCAGAAATTATTAAACTTTATTCAAGGAAAAGAGATACAAATCATGTTTATGTATGGAAATAGTTATTGGAACAGTTATTTAGGACGAAATGCGAAGTTTTATTGTCAAATGCTGGGCTGGCTATCGGACGCCGGTTGACATCGCCAGTGGAAAAAAATGTGAGATCTTCAACTCCGTGTATAAGACGACCCCCCTTCTTAGCCCCCTCATTTTAGGTACGAAAAACTCGCCTTATACACAGCGATATACGGTATGCATCAACCTCTAAATCCACCTATTCAAATTCACTACACAGTTTTACAATATGTATCGACCTCCAAATCCACCTATTCACATTCACTACAAAGTTTTACAATATGTATCGACCTCCAAATCCATATGTTGACATTCACTACACAGTTTTACAATATGCATTGACCTCTAAATCCATGTTCACAGTCACTACACATAGGTTTACAATATTCATCGACCTTCAAATCAATGTTGACATTCACTACACACAGTTTACACAAGACCAAATAGCGTCCATTCCAATTTGGAATGAACGTTGGAATGCTTTGGAAAGATCGCTCATTCCAAACTTTCCAAAGCTTGGAAAGATCGATCTTTCCAAAAAATCCAAAATTGGAATGGCAACATTTCCAAACATATTTCCAACATTGGAAATGTTTGGAATGACTTGGAATGGTTTGGAATGGTTTGGAAATATGGTTAGAAGGAACAAGTTAAAATATGTTTTATCAGTAATTTGAACAATAAAAAGTACTATGAATTAGGGGCTTTAGGGGTTGCTTATATAGTAATTTTGAAATTTTGAGATTTGGAAAGAATGCCAAGAGTCGGTGGGGGACGAACTAAGGGAGCTGTGTCTGTTGGGTGGTTGTTAGATAAGGTAGTTTTGGTTTTATTATTTTATTGGGGGTTTAAATGCGACTAATTAGTCCTGTTTTAATTAGGTATAAACCTAAGGCTTTGAATTTTTCTAATTTATTTTATGGATTTAGGATTGATTCTAGTGTAAGTCCGGTTTTAAGATTTAGGGTGGTCTGTAGTGTTGTTCGGTGTGTTTGGTAGTGTGTGCAGTGAATGAGTACGTGTTCTGGTGTTTCTTGTTGTTTGCAATGTGGGCAGTTTCCTGTTGTGTGTAGATTAGCTATTTTACGGTGATTATTTAGTTTGGTGCGGCCTGTTTGTAGTTTAGTAATTATTCTGTCAATTGTTTTGGATGGGTGTAGAATTTTTGGTTTATTTATTTTTTTTTAGTACTTTCCTGATTTGGCTATTTAAGTTTTGGTATATATTTTGCCATTTTTTGTTGATTTTTTGTTTAGTGAGACTTTTGATTTCTGATTTTGAGCTGGGTAAGTTTAAGCTTATTTCTGGGAGTTAAAGGGATAATTTTGCTGCTTTATCTGCCTTTTCATTTCCAAAGATTTCTACGTGGGCGGGGGTCCAAATGAACTCTATTTGTTTACCTGCCCTAGTTAAGTTGTTTGAGCTATTGAGTATTTGATTTATTAGTTTGGGGTGGTTTTTAGTGTTTTTATTTTTGAGGGCTTGTAGTCCACTGAGGTAGTCGGTTAGGATGAGGATTTTTGTTTTGTTTTTTAGATTGCTGATTGTGTAGTGCTGAGACAACTACTGACTGATATAGAAGATTTAACGTGCGCTTTCCGACTGCAGCGTATTTCGCACACGGGCCTGGCCAGACCATTTAGTGTATTCCGAGGAGGGTGAAAGTGGTGTGTGCAACACAAGAGGGGGCTTTTAGGGGCTGCTTATATTGAATTTTTGAGATTTTTAAATTTGGAATAAATGCCGAGGTGGGTGGAGGAGGGAACTAAGGGAGCCGGGTGAGGTGGGTGTTTGTATGTTTATTGGATTTTGGATTGGTAGATTAATTAGTTTTTAGATGCGCTTAATTAGGTCTGTTTTGATTAGGAATACGCCTAGGGCCTTGAAGTTTTCTAGTTTATTTTGAGGGTTTAGTATTTCATCTAGAGTAGGAACCTTATTTAGATTGAGGGTGGTTTGTAGAGTGGTTCTGTGTGTTTGGTAGTGGGTGCAGTGGATGAATGCGTGTTCTGTGGTTTCGGGTTGTTTGCAGTGGGGGCAGTTGCCTGTGGTGTGTCTTTTAAGTTTTTTTAGGTGGTTATTTAGGTTCGTGTGTCCTGTTTGGAGTTTTGTAATTAATCTGTCAATTTTTTTAGAGGGGTGTAGGATTTTAGATTGGCTAGTGGTTTTCTGAGCACTTTTTTGATTTGTCTATTTGAGTTTTGATATTGATTATGCCATTTTTTGTTTATTATTTGTTTGTTTACACTTTTAATTTCTGATTTTGAGATGGGTAGGTTAAGGCTTATTTCTGGTATTTTAAGAGATAATTTTGCTGCTTTATCGGTGCTTTCGTTGCCGTAAATTCCTACGTGGGCGGGGATCTACAAGAAGGTTATTTGTTTGCCTGCTTTTGTTAGGTCGTTGGAGCTTTTAAGTATTTGGTTTATTAATTTAGGTCGTTTTTTGGTATTTTTGTTTTGGAGGGCTTGTAGTCCACTAAGGGAGTCGGTGAGAATTAGGATTTTATTGTTGTTTTTAGATTGTTGGTTATGCAGGGCTGAGGCCATGCCCATAAGTTCGGCCGTGAATATTGATTGGTTGTTAGGTTGTGTGGTATGGACTCCGAAGCCTGTGTGGTTGGAGATCGGGTCTGAAGATCCGTCAGTGTATATGTGACACCCATTTGGCCAATTTTCGTGTATGTATGCAAGTGTGGTTGTTTTAGCTATGTTTGGGTCGGTTTGTTTATTTATTTGGCTAGCTAGCGTTGTGTCTATTTTGGGTATTTTGAGTTTAGGGGTGAAGATATTTGATTTTTTGCAGTTTTGTTTAAGATTTTGAGTTTGGTGTTCATTGAGGTAGTTAGTTATTCTTTAGGATATTGGGGTGAGTAAGGGGTGTTTGCGAGCTAGAGTTTGGTTTCTTGGGCTAATGTTTTGGTTAATTATGAGACAACTAATAGGTCTCAAGATTAAGTATTCAGCTGGATGGCAGCTGCCATTTAATTACAAAACAGACAGTTGTCTAGACGGCTCACATGTAAGTGCGCCGACATGTGCCTAAGATCATAAAATGGACAATCTTTGGTAACATCTAATTTATTGTTGTCTCACGCCAGAACTGTGAATAATTCTGTTCATTGAACAATTGGAATTCAGGAAGTTATCAATAATTGTTTTACTTAACATAAGATAAGATAAGTTGTTTACAAC